CCAATCGGACAATAGTAGAGCGAGCACGATTCATGCTCATCGACGCAAAACTACCAAAGCAGTATTGGGCAGAAGCGACAGCAACAGCTGCATATTTAATCAATAGGTCCCCCACAAAGACATTACCGAAAATGACTCCAGAAGAAGCATGGAATGGTGAGAAGCCAAATTTAGAACATCTTAAAATTTTTGGATGTAAGGCTTTAATATATATTCCTAAAGAAAAACGCGATAAGTGGATCCTAAGTCTCGCGAAATGACGTTTATAGGATATTGCGATAATACCAAAGGATATCGATTTTTATTGATAAGAAAAATAATAAAATAGTAATAAGCCGCGATGCGATATTCTATGAAAACGAACGTATTAGCGATTCTGTATATAGCGAACAGAAAATAGATAAGATAACAGCTAACTTACCTGACCTTATAGTACCAACAAATAACACAGATGATCCTGAATCTACAGTTGTCGATATCGAAGACTCGTCGGATGAAGATTCTTATGAGACGCCATCCGAACACGAAACAGAGCCATTGCCCGCTGTACAACCAACACTCAGAAGATCACAAAGAGTACCCAAACCAAAGATACTGCAAGATTATGTATCTTATCTAACATATGAGAGTTCGTTGGAAGCATCACAAACAGTAGAAGAAGCACTCAAAAGCTCTGATCGTGAAAAATGGATTGCAGCTATGACGGAAGAGCTCAAGTCATTGCAACGCAACGACACATGGGAAATTATGGACAAGCCCGAGGATAGAAAAACGCTTAAGTTAAAATGGGTCTTCAAAATTAAAAGAAATGAGGATGACTCATTAAAGTACAAAGCAAGACTCGCAGCGAGAGGATATGCACAGTCATACGGAATCGACTACGATGAAACTTACTCTCCCGTCGTAAAATATAGTACTCTAAGATATTTGTTAGCAATGGCAGCTAGGGAAAACTTAAAGATTACCCATATAGACGTGACAACAACCTACCTCAACGGAAAATTAGACGAGAAAATATTCGTGGAACCTCCAGAAGGCATGGAACATATATACAAAAAGGGCACGACAGGGGATTAAAATTGAAAAAGGCATTATACGGCCTTAAACAAAGCGGACGTACGTGGAACAAAACACTTGACGCAGCACTACAAGCTATAGGAATGAAACGATCGACAGCTGATCCATGCGTCTACATAGATAAGTCAAACGGAAAAAGACTCATCGTAGCAATCTACGTAGATGACCTGCTCATATTTATAAATAATACTAATTGTAAGAAAGAAGAATGTTTAAAAGCGCATTTAAATAAGCAGTTTGAAATGAAAAACCTAGGAGACATCAAGCAATGTTTAGGTATGACAATCAAAAGAGACTGGAAGCGAGGAGAGTTGTACATCAGCCAATCAAATTATATTGAGGCTATTCTTCGCAAATTCGGGATGGAAGAATGCAATCCAGTATCTACTTCTATGGATCCAAACGTTAAATTAAAGGCAGCGATAGAACCTCTACCTTAACAAGAAGAACAAGATATGAAAGGAGTGCCGTATATTGAGGCAGTAGGAAGTCTCCTATATTTAAGTCAGATCTCTCGTCCCGACATAGCATTTGCTGTAAACCGCGTAAGTAGTTTTGTCAAAAATTTACCAAAGAGCATTGGAATGCTATTAAGCGCATCTTTAGATATCTCAAGGGAACAATAGAGTTAAAAATTTGTTTTAAAAGAGACAGCGATAATGGTATCGTAGGTTATAGTGATGCGGACTGGGCCAACTGCGAAGAAACTAGAAATTCGATTACTGGATGTGCGTTTGTTGTAAACAATGGACCAATTTCTTGGTACAGTAAGAAGCAAAAGAACGTAGTCTTATCTACAGTAGAAGCGGAGTACATAACACTTTCATTTGCCTGCCAAGAAGCAATTTGGTTGCGCCGTTTATTATTAGAGATAGAAAATGATAACGATAACAAGACGATACCTATACAATGTGATAATAGGGGCGCGTTATGTTTAGCTAAAAACCATACTATAAGTCAAAGAACTAAACATATTGACGTGCGTTATCATTTTCTCCGTCAACATATTGAAAACATTGTTGATGACATTGTTGTCAATCATATATCTACGAACGATATGGTCGCCGATTTATCTACAAAAGCTTTACCTAAACCAAAGCATAATATTTTTACTATGAAATTAGAATTAGTCAACGCATAAATGTGAGCTAAAGCTTAATATATAGAAGTAAGATA